TTGTAAGTCAATGGTGTAAATCAATGAATTTTGTTAGTAGGTAGGTACTGTAGTCTAGGCTCTACTCTATGAGTAGAACTACTGGCTGAGTGAATATAGTTTTGTATTTAGAATGTGTTTGAAAACATAGGTTAGAAAAAAGAACATCTTGAGAGATCAAATAGTAGCCTCAAGAAGTAAACATGTAAAAAAATATAATAAATAGCTAGTTATGAAGTTAATCCCAGTTTATATTTATAAAGTACCTCTCGCTACGCATCCTAAGCTACGTCTCCAGGTTACAGTACTTTGTTGATACTTCACAGAAAGCACTTGGAAATAGCACTGTAAAAACCACAGTAGTTTATTTAAGGTCTATTTGGTAGCAGTAGACCTCTTTGTGAAAGAGTTCGTCCCGGAAAGTACTGCCCCCTTACCTACCTATCCCTGCCGCCAAGAAGTAATGTGAGCATTACAGCGTTCCGGTTTTCAATGGTAAGGGTGCTGATGAAATTACTGGCACATTGGACTTGTCAACTCATATTCCAGGGTGACGGACGCAGTGGCATTGACCCTCAGGTCTTTGCGGTTTAAAAATCTGAGTGGCACTACACTGTCATGGGTAGGCATGTCGCTTATCACCAAATGCACGACCTGTTCGTCCCGTCGCTTGAAACTTAAAAAACGTTAACCATTATGTTAGAATAATGACAGTTAAAAATTAATGTATTGTTCAAACAAGTTGTCGAGTAGTTGTAATTATATCATTTAAAAATTTTAACCACATTGAGAGTCACTTTGTAACTTTTTGCTCAATTGAGAATTGTTTTGTTCCTGCAGTCAAATTGTATATACAGTTTTGTAGGACTATGTTTAGTTAAGTATATTGTACCCCCTTTTAAATTAATAAATAAAAAAGTTAATAATTCTGCGTCTGGTTATGTGGAGGGTGTGCTTGTGTGGGGTGTGTTTGTGTACGGTGTGTTCGTGTGGTGGTATGCAATGAAATATATGTATATATTAATAAAAGTAGTAAGATAGTACGGGGTACCCCATTTCGCGTCATAGATTTTTTTTATGACACCAAGTGACGGGACGAATATCATGGGCCTGATGGTAAGCGACACGCCTAACCACAACAGTTGCAGTACATATAAGTTGGCAAGTTCCATGTGCCTGTAATTTCACCAGCACTCTTACCCTTCAAAACCGAAATACAGTAGTTAGTGCTTGGCGGCAGAAATAAGTAAGGTGACAGTACTTTCCTGGACGAACTCTTTCACAAGGAGCTCTACTATTACCAAATAGATCACAAATAATCAACTGTACTGTGATTACAGTACCGTTTTCAAGTGCTTTCTGTGAAGTTTCAACAAAGTACCTGCTGACAAAATTCGTTCATTTACATTGAACATTTTATGTTGAGGCACTACGGCACAAGGAAAAGTAGTGACATATGTGCGGTACTACGTATTTAAATACTGTCCAGGAACGTGTTATTATGCTGAAAACATTACTTGCAAACTTTGTGTGAGGGCCTTTGTGTATTTACTATAGTAAAGGTACAGTGAAATTACTAATTACTCTAAATTCACGCTTAACACAAGTTCCTTTTCGCATAACACTCCGCAAATGTAAATCCCCTAGACAAACCCTTTATATTTGCAATGTAAACTTGGAACTAATTAAGTGCTACGTATTTAAACGTGTTTGTACAGTCGCTTGGATAATTTAATAATGACCAAAGATGGGGTCACATAGAAAAACATTTATGTGTCTTAAAAACATAAACCCCTAATTACGTGGTCGTGTGTGAGTGGTCGTGTGTACATCATTGTGTGAGCAAAAGTATGTTTTAATTATTTAAATAGGTTTCAGGTAAAGAAAATACTGAAATTTTTTTTTTTTTTGAGAGGGTTCGATCAAGTAGAATTTTAAATATACTAAAAATATATACGACCTTCTTACAACTAGGTCTTAAATGGAAATGTCATTAGAACGTATTATATACAAGGAGCTTTTAATTAGCCTCGTAGAAACCTCCGAAGACAGACTACCTCTTACTCCTCCTCCCCAAAGAACAACTTTGGCCACCCAAAGGAGAAAGTTTACCAGCCTTTCTGGGGCCCTACCCTCGAAGCGCCAAGTCTGTAGTTACAGCTTTCCTACTACAGATGAGCTAGGTGACTATTCTCGAAGTCCATCAACGCCGTGCGAAACTGTCAAATCGCATTGTCATACATTCTTAGTTCCAGCCCGAATCGAAACTCATCCATAGCGGGCCGTAAAGTACGGATTTTGTCCTTCGATAGTAGGGCCCCTGACCTCAATGCTCCACAACGTGACTTTTCTACATTTAACTAGATGAAAGTACAAGTAGCATATATTTCTTCTTCATTCAGCATAGAATACTATTTAATTTATTTAATACCTTAAATTTGTTCAAAAAACAAGACAAGGAATTCGCAAACACGTGAAACAAAAGTTGTTCAATAATTATAATGAGGATTTGTTCTTTTTTTTTCTAAATAATATTACGACCAACCTATTAAAACTACTAACAACTGTACTTGTACAATTAATTGTTAAATACAGGTGGACCAGGAAGAGGGCGATGCAGAGGGCTCCGGGAGGTACGGCACCATACCCCCTTTCCCTCCTCCGCCCCCGGGATTAGATGGTACGTTACCGATTTAACGTTGTGTTTGTTAAATGGCTTTTTTAAGCGACTGCCAAAAGGGGGATTATTTTTTATAACGTTATGTTATTTTTTGTGAGTAGGTTTGTCTGTTATTTTAGGCCATTTTGAAATGTGTTTGTACGCGGGGTTGTTACTTTGGTGATTAATTTAATAATATTTAGATAATTTTGTTTTTGATAATTTATCTTGATATATTTAAAATTAATCGGAACAATAAAATGATACCGCTGATAAAATCATTCAATGTGTTTGTATCAGAAACGTATATATAAAAAAATCTCAAACCGCATCGTTTTCTCAAATATTTTTAATCGTGTTTATTTAGTTTTCGCACTGTTTGTCATTTAAGTGTCAAAATTAACAGAAATCAAACCATGAATTTGCATGGATAATTATCGAATATATATTGGATAATTATCATGATGACTATCAAAGAAAGTATTTGATTATTTCGGACCCGGCTTTAAATTACAAGTCAGTTGATAAGTCCGAGAAAATCATTTCAAACTAGGTACACTTACACATTCATAACTTGCCTACTACAATATGAATATCCTCTATTTCAGGCTACACCATGCGTTGGAGAGGAGAAAAAGGAGATCGAGGACCACGGGCAAGATTTTTTCATTAATTTTAACACTTTTGTTACTACGTGAAAGTGTTATCAAAAATCCTAAGTGGTATCAAAAATCCTACCACTCCATTTCCTTTGACAGTTTAAAAATAAAATAAATATGGAAAAAATGGAATTCTATTATGAAATTTAAATTTTATAAAACTGAAGCTCAAATATTTGAAATATTTCCAATTTAGGAAAAGGAGTATGCGTTCAATGAACACGTCCGCAGCTCCGCCAAGTAGACAAAGCGTAGAAGAGTTTTGTTTCGGCCCTCCCTTTATTTTTTTCCATCCTCTAAGTTCGGCCCTCGATTTATCACCACCACCACCACCCTTAAGTCTACGTTTTATTTTAAATATTGAACAGATTTACACACAATTATGACGAATAAGATACAATTGGTTTTTACAATTTATTATATGTAGGAAACATACCATAAACTAAAATTAATAGAATAAAGGTCGCTAATATGTCACTAACTTGTGTTTTACAAAGGTAATTCGTTTTATATAATCTTTTAATTATTTTCACTTTCACATTAATTAAATCTTTAGTAAAATGTTACGTATTGATGCGACTATACATACTTAATAAAAACAAAGCATACAGTACCATTAAGTAAGTCTTGTCGGTCCTACTTTAGGGCGTATAAGCACAGAACACAACAAAGAAGCTGCAGGTTTTTGAGGTGTGGGTTTGCCGGTCTACGTTGAGAATTTCATGACGTGACCAGGTTAGAAATGTAGAAATACTTAACAAACTTAAGAAAAGGGTGGAGCTTATGAATAGCGTTAAGCGTAGGAAGATCGTATTTTGATCATGTCATGAGCATCGATATATACAAATTAGTCTAGCTTATTATCCAAGGTGAAATCGCGGCCAACCGAAGAGTCGGTAGACATACGGGTTTGGCTACTGAACAGTAGCGAGGCGTCCATATAACTCGATTCCCATCAGCTTGTCTAAAAATTTCCACGTGCTATCAAATATTACAAATATTTAAAAGTAGAATAATTAACCAGTGACGTGTACTAGTTTCTTATGTGCTAATAAGTGATAGAAAGAAAAATTGATTCGGCTATTACAAATAAATATACAAATAATAATAATAATATTAATCTAAATTTAAATTAAAGAATAAATCACTAAAAAAACAAATAAATATATATTACTAAGTACATGATAACAGCCGAAAAGGCTAGCCAGCTCAGCTTAATGCTGGGCAGAGCCACAGCGCTGATTTTCAGCCGGAGCCTGAGAAGAGGTAGATGGCTATGCCTATTTAACAAAAACTATAAATAATAACAAGTACTTGATCCATAACCTAAACATTTAATAATAAGAATAATGTCCGAGTCATAACAATACTAAAATAAATTAACAACTAGCTTCAGAAATTATGCCGTTTATTTGTCCTATTAGCGTAAACTGTTTAATTCTTTAATTGTAGTAAGTGCTCTATTCAATTGTCGCCAAGGCGCCACTTGTTCAGGCAAGTGTTTTTTATTTTGCTCCGGTTGTATTATAGACAATTTTCACGCCTCGCCACTGCTACAGAACCAACTCATGTGATCAAAGCGTGGAGATCGAGTGTCGGATAGAACAAACGCGTAACTTATTTCTGAAGTTGAGACATCTATTCTGCAATCGATCATTGAAGATGTCTACCAAGGTGCGTTTGGCAAGTTGAAACGTGGTTTTGGTTCTTCTGTATAGCGTAGAGTCCTGGACCATAACTCAAAATATGAACAAGCGCTTAGAAGCATTTGAAATGTGGATATACAGAAGAATTTTGAAAGTATCGTCGAGTATCCAATGAGTATTGTAGATGGTGAATAAGAAATTAGAGATTTTGAATACCGTCAAAAAACGCAAGCTTTTGTCATATAATGCTCAATAATAAATTCCACCAATTCCGATTAATTACGCAAACAAAAATCCATGGAAAACGACCACCTGGAAAAGGGCGTCATGGTTCAACCTGAGTACAAGACCTTTGTTCCGTGCAGCTGTCTAAAATACAGATAGCCTTAACGATCGCCGACCTCGGGTGGGAGATGGCACCTTAAGAAGAAGACAGAACCAACTCGCTCTTTGGAGAGGCCGTGTTTAGGATTGCCATGTATTTTCAATGTAAGATGGGAGAACAACTTTTTTTTTTAATTTATATTTTTCTTCTACCTGCAAATATTAACAACCTTTGATATTAAATTAAAAAGTCTGCTGTCCTTATGCATTTTTAGAAACCGCTGCTATTTTTTCCGATGTAAAGTGGGATAGTTGTTATTGATCAGATTTTTTTCAGATTGATTAAAATCGTCGGAAAAATGTCGCCCTGTATTATCATAGGTACGAAAGGGAGAAATCAACCCACCTTTGTTAGATCGTTGGACCAATCTACGTTCGTGGGAAATATTTAACCCCCCCAAAGGAGTCACGTTGACGCTATTATAAATGGATTTAGCCTCCCAGTCGTGTCACCTTTCGTAGCCTGTTGTTATACCTCGTAACAATTTGAACATTACGGTGGAGCTATAGATTCACCTACAGACTCTATATCTACCAAAGAAACTTAATACGATATGCCTTAAGCGTTTTGTTTCCAATCAACTTCAGTATGACTCGTAGATCTTTAAGGCGATGTTAAAACCGTTTTACAACATTGTTTTAATTCGCACTAAATTAATTATAGGTTGCTTATAAGGCTAAAAAGCAACACAACAAGTCCTTAAAAAACTCTAAATTATTTGCTGTCTTCTTGTTTATTAAATCGTAAATTTTAAAGCGACACCACTTGTGTTATATTTTTATTTGATATAGGAGCATGTATAGTCTCACCATGAACGTAAATAGCAAGTCAGCGTATACGCATCCACTTCATATGCCCCCTCCGAGCAGTTAAACTTGGGTAAGGGGAGCTCTTGTGCTGCCCGCGTCCAATCACTTCCGACCACTTTCCTCAGATCGTCCATCGATTTTGCCATCGTCTTACACTACACTTACTTTTACGTGATCGCCACTCCTGAAGAAGTCTCCTCCATTGGCCACCAGCCCTTCTGTCAAAGACCCTTTCTTAATCCAGATTCTAGAATCGCACTTCGCAGTTTTCACTCTGCTAGTAGCTTTAAAATGACCCCTTTAGACACCTTCTGTTATATATACATGTGTTCTAATCTTTGAACAATAAGTCAAAAATAATCGAAATGAGAAATTTTCAATTCCCGCACCCGTCATGGCGTATTATAAATGGGCTGTTAACCTCCCTTTCATGATATAGAACCATTACCGCTTTTAACTGGGTGTTGGCTAATCGTTTAGAGGCCCTTTCTTAGACCGAAATTGCTATTCTCAACTTTACTATTTGACCGTTTGCTTTATTTACCGAATGGTATTTACGTAGGCGTGAAGTCAAATCAAAGTATGTTTGTACATAATATGGGGGAATGTTTAATGGATAGAATTTTGAGTGCCATTTACTATTCCTAACAACTTATTTGTTTTACAGAGAAAAGTGAATACCAACATTAATTTTAAGGCTCGAAAGTGAAACCCGTTAAGCTCGAAAGCCGTCACCTCTGAAATATTGATAGTAGCAAAGACGTTATTTTATTTCAGTAACAAAAAATAAGTACTTCTTTTGAAATTCCATATCATAACATTTTATTCATAGGCACTTAATGATAAGAAATAAGTTACAAGTCACAAAATTTTAAAAACGTAACAATAACGAATAATTTAGTTTCTATTGAACTTTTTCTCTTATGTATGTGCTCAAACTTAATTTTGTTTATATTGCATGATAGTACCAGCAGTGTGTGACACAAATACAGTACCGGTACTAATTTTGTTTTAATTGTCTTATAAAAAGGGTTTTTAAAACTTTGAATGTTGTTGATAAATGTCTCACCATAGTATAATTTATTATACCAATAAATAACCAAGCATTAAGATTTAAATACAGTAAATAAATTATCTTAAAAAAATTAAGAACAAGTAAATTATCTTATCATTTTTGTACTGTAGCTTAGAATAGGGTGATTTAAACTTTTACGATTTTCACACATTATTATCGGGACTTAATCGTGTTGCAACGTCTATGGTCTCTAGTACCTCGAAGGAACTCGAGACTATGGACATTGTAACACGTCCAAAAACGTCGACCCAAATAAAATATAAAATATATTTCCACCTCATTAGCTCAGAAAGGTTTTCTTTCTCATTAGAAATCTGCGCGCAAAAGCGTTTTTTCCACGCTAGCGTGGAAAAGGTTTTTGAGATTCGAACTTGTCAATGGAATGTGGTGTACCCATGGTGCACCTAACTTTTTCGTTCGATAACAAAACAATCACATGTTCAACTACGCCAACAACTTGCCGTACATTATTATGTAATATAAATCCGTTGGTATATTTTATTCTTATTATTGTTAACGTTAAATTGACAACTATAACTAATTTTTGATGTATGAATTGAATATATTGTTATAGTTCAACTGTTTTTCCTTCATCTACCATTTTCCTCGCTACGATGAGACGAAAAGTTGTATGTTTCGCTCGGCAGCAAAGTTGTTTTGCTTCTCGTGCCTTGAAACTCTGGCTATGCTCAGGATTCAATACAAGCGCTCGCGTCAAACAACAACTTTGCAACCTTGCATAACAAATCACTATTATAGACGATTAAGTCTCTATATTAAATTCAAATAACAGAATAGGGTGATTTGCATTAATATTAGACATAACTGATTCATGACTAAAATCAAGTCAGCCAGTTGTGACCACGACTTATAAAGAGTTCGAAGCTTTAGTTGGTTTGAAAATATTCCGAAAGAAATAGTTTCATTTCCAAGAATAATTAAACCTCTGGTACCTTAACTAGGGTATTTGCTGCTTGATTTACATTTTATTATACGTGTTACGAGATTAATGCAGTATGCTATACTCCTGGTCATAACTAACAAAACAAGTAAAATTGAGGATATATACTTAAGGTGTGAAAACACGATTACTAAAAACTTTCACCATAGAAAAGAAAACACAAATTTGCTTCGGAATTTTACAAGAAAACGACTGTATTCAATAAACACGTTAATCAATGATTTTTTTTATATCAACTGAACTAAATAGACCACGTATAGTATACGATATACATACATATTTCAAATGACCTTAATTTTGTTTGTAGAGCAAAAATTTGAGATAAAGCCAGTGTCCCTGCTGCTCGAACCAAGCAAAATTAACCATACGTGAAAATTTTTAATTCGAGCTGAATTAGTATCTAAAGCAAAATCAGCGTAATTGATATTTTTACAAAGAAAAAACTTTAGGCGTCACTATCTTGAGAGTTACCAAAATATAAATGTGTTAGTTATGACAAGGAGGGCAGTATAGGTATCTATTTAGCGACACTCGTGTATTTTAATTGATATAAACACATTCGATGGATTTCAAATTGCAAATTCGTATCGTGAAACAAAATCTGACCCAAATAAAGTCGAAAACGATAATCTGTGGAATCCTAAGCGTGGCCCAATAGCGATTAGTGGCAAGCCTCGGTGGATATTTATTACTGAAAGGCACCCAAAGTGTTTTGTTTGCCAACTGCCGTATTTTATACGAGATATAACAACCTGTAAAAGTTTTAGGATTTGAAGGCTGGAAAGAACTAAGAGTTTTAATATCTTCTTTGTCTTTGGTTTTGTTGTAACAAATGCAATGAAAGACTTTCTTTTGCTACTCTTGGAAAAAAATGTCAAACAGTTTGAACGTTCATCTACTTATGAGCATTACTCTTATCGGTGCTGCTCTTTTCAAAGTTTCTCTATTGTCAGCTCATTTCTATACATTATACGAGCCCACATTGACCGTCCCTTTATTGGTTCTATGTAATAAATTCTCGGTCTGTTTGACATATAACTAAATACAAATAAGCCGCTATCAGGTACTTACAATTTTGTGATACACATTTTCGTCAAGGTTTTCCTTTGTTAGCACGTTAAACGAGATTTATTAATTCATTTTCTATAAACAGGGTCCGCCTGGCGAATCAATAAGGGGACCTCCAGGGCCACCAGGCCCACCAGGGCCACAGGGGACCCCGGGACCTTTAAGTGAATTTGGATCTGGAGATGGCGTAAGTAATGTATTTTTTCTTATATAAATGAAAAATTCTTTTTTGTGACATGGAGATAAAATACTTCAAATATTGCACATAGGATATTTTGCTTCATGGAGACATGATTTTATTTTTAAAAGTTGTTTTGAATCGAGCCGACCAAATGTGAAAAAAAATCTGTATTTTTATGATGCCAATGGAAGGGGTCAATTATAAGGATTAATTCCATTTAAGTAATATAGTATCTTAAATTAAAGGAAGACTATAAAATTTAACATTTAAGTTAGCGTTTTACTATCGTGGGACACCCTGTAATTATTCTAATCATATAACATAGTAATATGAATTACACTGTTCGATATTATATTTCATAATGTTCATAGTCATAAAATTTACTGTCACTTATTCTGACATAAGATAGAACCAAAGATTAATCATGTACATTTAGGAACGAAATGCCGAGAATTAACCCTCCAATCTGTTCAATAACCTGCTGTCCAAAACAAGCTGTCCACAATCAACAGTATCGCGCAAACATCCAGCGGAGCGGACGGAACAAATCTGCATATCCCTGTAAAGTCTAGACCGCAGAGATCTCGTTTAGCCTGTGGGCATCACCTGCTGTCTGTTTGCATAGCTTACTGCGGCAGTGGCGCACAAAGTATTAGACAGAGCGATTTAGAAACTCCACTTTGAAAACATAGCGCATGTAAAACACTTCCTTGGAGACCATCTCTCATAACAAATAAACGCCCGACAAAATACTTGGTAACTTTACGCGACCAACTGTCCCCATTGCTTCTCAAGTTCCTTTTGTAAAAGTTTAATAGAAAAAAATTATGATATCAAGTGAGGGGACGAAAAAGTTAGTAAGCCTGGTGGTTAGCAACGCAATAATCAGAGGGGAAACACGACTCCGCTATCACCATGAGACATACGATTACAAGTGCCATGTGCCTATTATTTCACCAGCACCTTTTAAAACCCGTTCACAGTAATGCTCACATAACTGCTTGGCGGTAGTAATAGGTAAGGTAGCAGTACTGCAACTAACGTTCTAAGGGAGCTCTACTACTTTACTTTACAGGGAAATACTGCCACCTTACCTATTTCTACCGCCAACCAGTGACATCAGCATTGCTGTGTTCTGGTTTCGAAAGTAAAGGTGCTGGTGAAATAACAGTCACATGGGACTTGTCAACTTAGATGTCAGGGTAACAGGCGCAGTGGCAGTGCCCCTCAGATCTTTGAGATTTAAAGCTCCAAGTGGCACTGCAACTGTTATGGACAGGCGTGTAGCTTACCATCAGATTTATTCATTTATTTCTCAAATATAACATTACAGTATAAATTGCACTACATGTCAAAGTATAAGAAATTATATTGAGATCGTCAGACAAAAATGAGAATTATAAGAAAATACACAATAATTAGAAAATTGACAATCATTATATAATAATGTTATCATTAAATTACATATCAAATATCATTCACCATCAAAGGTCGTCACAAGTTGATAACAATTATACTAAAGTATGTCAATGGGGTAAAAATTTGAATAAAAATAGAAAATACTCAATATCGTTAAAATTTTAAGTCCATAAATTCATTTACAGAAAATAAAGGATTTTTCAATAAAAGGTCTTTCAGCCGGTGCCTAAATGTTTCGTCAGACGGCTCAAGTCTGAGAGTAGCGGGTAAACGCTTATAGTAAGTAGGTCCAATGACACGCGGGTTTTTTTCTGCAAGTGCCATGCGTCGGGGGACTGTTCTTAAATGACCGGTACGGCGGAGTGGGATGCCAGAAACATTTACAGTACCAAATGAAGAAAGATTATTTCTAACGTACATTACAATTTCGTATATGTAGAGTGAGTAGTGCGTCATTACGCGTTGCACTACAAAGAGATTTCTGCAGGAATGTCTGTGTTTTACCCCAACCAATACGCGTACAGCAGCGAGTGGAAATGTGCTATATAAACCTGTCTTAATGCAGAATCAGAAATGAACATTTCAGTTTACGCAAAGACTGCACCACTCAATCTGTCACTCAGTCTGTCAACATGGCACTTCCAGTTAAGGTTCGAGTCCAGAGTGAAGCCAATGAACCTACGCTCATTGCATATCGGCATTGGACTGCTTGCTACACACGGAGCAACTGTGAGACCTCGACCCGAGAAAACTATTTAGTGATATTCAGCAGCAACCTATTCGATGAAAACCACCTCTGGAGCTGCTCACACCCTTCATTAATTCTCTCTCCCAGCTGTTCGTACGTGCGCGCGCTAACTATGACAAGCGCACGATTTGTTCGTCCCGTCACTTGATATAAAAAAACCATTGACTTACAATTATATGGACGTCGGGTCCGCGCTAAAATGTGTCCGCACTTGTAAGGCGCTAAAATCGTATACAGAGCGCGACACTCCGCTTTAGTCTTCATTTGTTCTACGGACAGCGCGATACTGCGATGACATAACAATTTAAATTTCGAATAGGTTGACTCGGGACATTTTTTTCGTGGTTTTTGTATTAGACCCGTCGTCCATTTATTTGTAAGTCAATGAAAAAAACATACAAAAAAAATCTTAGTACTTTTGACACCTAATCTTTTCACTTCTTCAAACTCCTAAATCATTAATACCTATTTATTTACATTTTCTTCTAATCAGTATGTAATGCAAATTACAATATTGTTATAAGCATAGATCCCATTATAGTTTGCTTTTGTTTGTATTGTATTATACTTAATCGCTATAAACTTCCCTTTACACCAAACTATTACGCTATCTCGACGCTTACAATGTGCGTAGCAAACCTGAACTTGAATAGGCTATTGAAAACAACTCTTTCTATACACCGGACACTTGAGAATGCACTGATTGCCATCTATTGCAGTCTTGCTATTGTTTATCTTCTTGGTGGTCTGTAGATCAAAATCATCGTTAAAAAAAGAATGCTATTTTTTAAAATAGACTACAACTCATTGGACAGCCTGGCAGTGACAGCTTGACCTTCTTACGATAGCTCATAAGTATCGACTTGGAAAGAATTGTACTATTAGCTCGAGTAACGAGGAATTCAACTTCAATTTTTTCATTTGTTAATAGAGTTGTGAAGTATAAAACTAAATAAAACTATATTTAGGAAATGCAACTATTTTTCCGGATTTACTGTCAGTCAACCATAACCATGGGGCCTTATAGGTCCTGAAACGTTGGTTTGTTTGAAAAAACATATATACGCGATTTAAATCCGGAAAAATTGTTTAATTTCCTATGTGTACAATCGCGAAAAACTAAGAACTCGATATGTACGCCAGTGCGTACTGGATGTTGCAAATAAAACTATATTTATTTATTGCATATGATGCTTTACTACCATGATTTAGTGTATTTTTTGTGAAAATACTCCTAGGAAATGAAACTATTTTTTCATGTCGTCAACCGTGACCATGGAACCAGAAAAAGGCCCGAAACGTTAGTTTGTTAAAAAAAATATGTACGCGATTTGGACGCGACGTGCGCGAAACCAGATTCATCGCCTAGTTTGCCATTCTTAGAGGTAGAATATTTGCTACAAATGTAAATGGGACCAATACTGAGGTATCCTCTTTCCAACAAAAAAGCATCATTGAAATTGGTTCAGGGAGTATTCGCATAACATATTATATACAAAAAATACAGTCGAATTGAGCACCTCCTCATTTTTTTAAGTCAGTTAAAAATTGTTTTTTTGTTTTTTTTTTTTTTTCATTTCAAAAATTCATTTCTTATGTGATCCAATCGCGAAAACCTAAGAACTAGGTAAATTCTCCACAAGTTTGTTATTATTACAGTACTTTGCAGGGATAAGTAAATTTGTTCCGTGCGCTCCGCGGGATGTTTGCTTCAATAACAAAAGAAACTAATTAAAAATCTATTTACGTGAGACATCCTTACGATTTTTATACATTATTATAAATATTAAGTCTAATTATTATTCATGTTGTTTATTATACGTTATATAATACTTATGTAATTGACATTTTTTTTATTTATCTGGTAGTTTATATTATTTCTCTCTCATTCACTCTTGCACGCTGTTGCCCGCTTATGACCTTTGCTGTCACTGCCTTCGGTTGTAAGAGGTCTCTTTTAGAGACATTTATTCAACGTCTGTTTAAATAATATTTCTATTGCATATTTGGTGCAATAAAAAATATATTATATTAAATGAAGTAATATATTAACATAGGAAATGAAACTATTTTTCCGGTTTTAAATCGCGTATATTTGTTTTTTCAAACAAACCGACGTTTCGGATCCTTTACAGGTCCCATGGTCACGGTTGACTTGAAAACAAATATACGCGATTTAAATCTCCTTCTGCTTAATTAATTTATACGGCAAAAGAATACGGTACTTCAAACTTCAACATTGTTCGTCTCAAGTCTAAATAACCGTAATTTCATGAACAAAGCAACCTGTTCTTAACTTGACGGTATCATTATTTTTTCCTGCTTTGACCTTTTCCGCTTCAGTTCTAGTAAACTAGTTTGGGATTAAATTGGATGAGTGGTATCGTTGGTCATAATCTGGGATATTGATTAGCCTCATTTCGGCTTTATTTATTCCTCGTTTTCGTTACTTTAACAAATGAGATATATTAAGTAGTATACTTTTGGCGGACCAAAAGCGCAATATCTTTGGCGGAATATTGCGAAGTTCGAAAGTCGTCGACCTCTGCTTAGCTTCCAACGACCAATGTTTCCATAAAATAAAGATTCAATCGAGTTCTTTCAGGAAATATTGGCCATACTATAACATTATTACCAAATAACGAAACCAAATTGCAGAATGAACAGCATAAAACAGTAGTGACATTGGAACTCCTTGTAAATGAGTGCTGCCACCTTATCTATTTCAACAGACCAGCAAAGTCACAAATGTCCACAAAAATCTTTTTTTTTTTTACTGTACGGAAAAAATAAGTTTCATTCGATTGTTATCAGATATATTACAGATACTTCAAGTATATTTTATTTCTAAAAGGCAATATTTAAATGTTGTGCAATGAATTTCTCCGCGTCTACTTCACAAGTTCAAAGCCTACGCTACCACTATTCCATTTCGCCTTAAATAGAAGAACACATTTTGATGCATACATACTTAGCAAGGCCTGTACTGTCAATATCATAGAATATCCCATATCGTATTCTGTGAATGACCTGCTGTGAGCACTAAATTGTAAAATAGCAAAATTAGGCACTTGGATGCCAGCCAACTACGAGATGATTATCAATTTTATTTGCTCTACGGAAAGTTTTTCAATACAATTGCTTTTAGAACTACAAGTTTTATTTTGACAATTTAATTATCGACTATGCCATGGTAAGTTGGCCAAGTTAAGAGTCTATAAATGGGTTTGGTTGATTCCGCATAGCAGTGACAGTGTTCAATCAATCACTGTGGAAAAAATATAGAGTAAAATGTGTGAAAACACGATTCCTAAAAACTTTCATGATAAAAAAAATACAAAGTTACCTCGAAAACCGCTGTATTTAATAGATATTTTACATATACCAAGGTTTTTTTTTATATCAACTGAAGTAAATAGAACGCGTATACTATACAATACATATTTTTCAAATGGCTTTAATTTCGTTTGTAAATAAATAAATTACGAAATAAAGCCAGTATGCCTGCCGCTCGACC